CTTATTAATTCTGATAAACAATTATTGTATTAGTTTCTTGTGGCTGCTGTAACCATTTATCATGAACTTAATGGTTTTAAACAATAGAAATTTAGTTTCTCACAGTTCTGGAGACCAGAAGCCCAAAGTGAGTTTTGTGGGTTAAAATCAAGTTTCAGCAAGGCCACTCTCCCTCTGGAGACTCTAGGAGATAATTCATTTCTTGCATCTTCCAGTTTCTGGTGGCTTTTGGTATCCCACAGCCACATTACTCCAATGTCTGCCTCTTTTCACACTGTCTTCCCTTCATTTTGTCTGTGCAATTTCCCTCTGTCTTTTTGTTTTCTTTACTCTCCCTCCCTCCCTCCCTCCCTTCCTCCCTTCCTTCTTTCCTTCCTTCTTTTTCTTTTGAGATTGATCTCCCTATGTAGTCCAGGCTGGTCTTGCACTCAAGATCATTCTGCCTCAGCCTTCTAAATCCTGAGATTACAGGTGTGCACCACCATGCTTGGCTTTCTTTGCCTTTTTCTTTTAAGGACACATGCAATGGTATTTAGGGCCTGCCTGGATGATTCAGAATATCTCCTTATTGCAATATTCTTAATTACATTTACAAAAATGCTGCCTTAAAGGGTAATAAAGGCTCTAGGAATTAGGACTTGATTATCTTTGAGGGCTACCATTCAGCCTACTATAGGAAGATAATAATTAATCTCCCGTTTTTTGTGTGGAAAAAATGAGCCATCTTTGAAATTGCCTTTTCCCAAGATCTTGTTCCCTAAAAAGTAGGCTTTGAAAGTATTGTGAAATTAATCTCCAATAAGGAATGAATTAGCAATTTGCTTTCCTGTTTTTAGATGGAAACTTTTTTGCTAGAACTCTATTAAAATACCAATTTTGCCTGTATTTCTTGAGTATAATGTGCCCATTATTATGTTATTCTAGTGGCCTGAGTGTATATGCTAATGGAGTAACATTTTTGGGAAGAGTCAGTACTGGGGCTTGAACTCAGCGACCTTGCACTTACTAGGCAAGTGCTCAGCCACTTGAGGCATACCCGTATCCCTTTTTGCTTTTAGTTATTTTTAAGATAAGGACTTAAGTATTTTGCTTGAGCAGGCCCTGAACCAAGGTCTTCCTGATCTCTGCCTCCTGAGTAGCTGGGATTACATGTATGAATCACTGTACCTGTCCCTAATTAAATGACTTTTAATGTTATAAAGGTTTCTTTATGGAATGCACTCCACAAGATTAAAAATTAAAATCATTTAAATTTTATTCATTATATGTATATGAGTTAATCTTCACATTTTTCAGCATATATATGAGATGCGTGAGATAATTCACAAAATTAAGACTGAAGTTATTTTTTGTTATTTCTTGTCTTCCATGGTTGTCTTTCTCTTTTGGCACGGTTATACTGTTTACCCAATGCTTATAAAGGATGTTTATTCCCATTTAAAATCTGAAATACCCTATAACTAGATTTTCTTTTTTTTGCTACATATTTTATTTTTTGATGGTAGTCAGTTTTGAACTCAGGGCCCCCTGGTTGCTAGGCAGGTGCTCTACCACTTGAGTCACTCTGCCAGCTAGATTTTCCTAATTAGAGGCTTCATAATAGCTTAAATTTTAATTTTGACTTTATTATGCTTTTATTTGGCTTAGCTCCATTCAGTTGGAAAATTTTTTATAATTTTAAGTGATGTTTACAAAATAAATATGCAAACTCATCCATAAAATAGTTTATGAATGTAAATTTAACTAAATTCCTTAAGAGAACTTGTACTATCACTTTGTAATTCAACAGCATAATCTTTTTTTGGAAGGGAAAGAATGTAAAACATCATGTAAAAATATGTAAGTTATTAAAATAATGTGTTCATATTATTTGAATTATCTTATTACAGTTATTATTATTAATATTTTTTCTCCTATCACTTTTTGAACTTCTTTGATGTCTTCATTAGTTACTCTTTTCTCTTGACCATTGTTTTCAGTATTCTCTGGGTGTTGTTTTTTTTCTCTACTCAATTTCTAAGTGTTAGCCTTCCTGATAGCTGATTCCTTCCTATCTTCTTTTTTTCCCTTTCTTCCTTTTCTCTCTTGTTTTGAGGTGTGAGTTTCAAAATGTTGCCCAGACTGGCCTTGAACTCCTGGGCTTGAGTGAATCTCCTGCTTTAGTTTCTTGAGTAACTGAGACTACAGGTGCACAACACTGCACCAGGCAGATGGTCATTTTTTTTTTTTTTGGCGACACTGGAATTTGAACTCAGGGCCACATGCTTGCTAGGCAGGTGCTCTACCACTTGAGCCACTACGCCAGCCCTGTTTTGTATTAGGTTTTTTTGAGATAGGGTCTCATGAACTATTTCCCCAGGCTGTTTTCCAACTGCGAACTTCGTGATCTCTGCCTCCAGAGTAGTTAATCCTACAGGCATGAGCCACTTGTGCCTGGCCAGATGGCCGTTCCTGATCAATCTTTCTATCTTAATACTTTGATGTTAGATAATGCCTTCCATTTTTATGATTTTATACTACTAACCATATTCCTACAACTTCCAATTTTATTTGTCCATCTCAGACCTCGCTTTTGAGATCCTGAATCATCTTTCTAATGCTTATTTAATAATCCCATTTGAATCTCTTTCAAATAAAGTTGAACCCTTGACTGTACCTCTCCTTTAAAAAGCACTGTTAGCACCAACATCAAAAATTCAGTTCCATTCCCACTCCTTTATTGGATAACATCATTAGGAGGTCTAAGCTGGAATCCTGTGTGCCATCGTTGATTCTTACATCTTATTTATTGTACATAGCTCATCCCTTGCCCTTCCTTCTTACATACTAATTCCAAAATATGTTTCAGATTCTATTCACTTTCTCTTTCCTTATTCTTGCAGTCTTAGTTCAGGTTATCATCATCTATCTCTGGGACCATTGCATTATTTATGAGTACTTAATTCTAGATATTATACAAAATAACAAGTTAGGCATACTTTTGTTTTTGGGATTTCAAGTTAATTTTAGGCAATAATTTTCAACTCCCAGGATTCTGATGTTACAAGAAAAAGAGGTAAAACTCTGAATGTAAGAGAAACAGTGCTGCATTCTAAACTAAGAACAATGGCTTCATTTTCCACTTCAGTAGAATTGTATGAGCTTGGATGTCTAGAGATTCTAGCCAAAATATTGAGAAATGTTAATTTGAAATTCATATTTTTGTTTCTAGTAATTCTGTCATTTTATTAAGTTATTCAGAATTCTATGTGGGAGGAGAATCTAAATTAATTTTCATATTATATAATAATAAATGTTTTCTTTAGCCAATTATAAAATTTTGCATTAGATGGGAATGAGCATCAGTCTCTGTCTGTCCACACGTATTGCATATTAATTTAATGTTCTGAACAGGGAATTTACTATATTGCTAAGTAAATGCATCTCACCCATCAAAGTGAGGAAGTTGGGCACTATTGATAGGAGGTTTGTGATGGCAGAACAGATGCTAAATGAGGTTGAATGGGCTGAGCTGAAACAGATGATTTTTCTGATGGTGGTACATAATATTCGTATGTTTTTAACCAAAATAAGCATAATAAATGAGTACAAGCAAAGTATATTTCCATGATAAGGTAAGCAATTTGGTTATTATTCAGGTAGTAGTTCTTAACAGGGATGGGGGTTACATCTTAGGGGATACTTTTTGGCTATCAGGGCTAGAGGATATAATTGGCATTTACTGGCTAGATAGTAGGGATGCTGCTAAGATCCTACAGTACCCAGGGTAGCCCACTGCAATGGTTATCTAGCCTAAAAGGTTCATAGTGCTGACTTTTTTTAACCTACCAAGTGATGTCCTAAATATTTTTTTAAGTAGAGGAATAATGACTATGATAATTCCATAATTTTGTTTTTGTGAAAACTTAAAATGAATGGAAGCATGCTTGTGTGTACTTAGAATAATTTAGGAGAAGAAGGAATCAAGGATGAATGCTAGGTTTCTTACTTGAGCAATTCATTAGGATGACGTTGGTGACATTGTTTGAGATGAGAGAAATAGAGATCTTCAGTTTAGATTTTGTACTTGAATTTGAAGTGCCTGAAAGATATCAAGAGAAAGTCTTAAAAATAATAACAATTTTTTAGCTGGGTGTGGTGGTGCATGCCTGATTTCCAGCACGTGAGAGGCTGAAGCAGGAAGATTTTGAGTTCAAGGCCAGCTGGGGCCACATAGTGAGTCCCTGTCTCAAACAAACAAACATACAAACAAGCTTTTTAGACATATCCTTAATTTGTAATCTGTCAGTATATGAATGTAATTTGTCCTTGGAATTGGAAGAAATCACTCAGTGGGATGTATATCTTAAAAATAGTGCCTTAGGTCGTAGCTCTTGGAAACATCAATATTCATGATCAAAGTTGAGGAAAATCTTGCTAAAGAGATTAAGTAGTGAAAGAGATAATAGGAGAGATCCAGAAAGGTAGTCTTCCAGGGCAAGGGATGAGAATGTTTCTAGATGAATGAATTGATATGGAGGCTGTTAATTGGTTACCTTGGTGGAAGTGACAGTGAATAGAAACCAGATTGTAGTGAGGTGAGAAGTCCATGGTAAGTAGAAATTTAGTTGTGTTGTAGATTTGTGTAAATTTGGCTGTGAAGAAGGAAGAGAGAGAGAGAGGGGATGTTGAATCAAGAGAAGGGTTTTTATATATATTTTTTAAAGATCAGAGGGAATTCCTCATGGTATTTTTAAAGATGAATGTCATATTTGGATTTTAGAGATTTTGAAGCATATTTTGTTAATATAATTTTGAAGTACATTTTGTTAATAAACATACTGTCTATAAATATATTTTTAAGTGATCTTTTTGCTTTCAGATTATTAGTGGGTAATATTTTAGAATATTCTCAATAGTTGCTTAGATTCTAACTGACTCAGCAAATATGAAAATAGTTCTATTAATTACCATAGATATAGGTGTATGTTCAACACTCAAAGTCTATTTTTGTTTTTCAGATCTTTCTAGAAATCGTTTTACAGAAATTCCTTCCGATGTGTGGTTATTTGCACCTCTTGAAACATTAAATTTATATCATAATTGCATCAAAACTATTCCTGAAGCCATTAAAAACCTGCAGATGTTAACATACCTTAACATTAGGTAAGGAAATAATTCTTTAAAATAAATTTGATTCTTTCTTATGGTTCTAATTCTTTTTCTTAGCAAAGTAATTGGTTGGTTTGGCTGTGTAGCCTGTATTTATCTTAACAATATCCTATTTGTATTTTGTAAAATTCACATTGCTTTGTAGGCTTTTGGTTTTGTTTTGTAAGCAGTATTTCTCAAACTTTAAGGTGCAGGAATCATGTGGGGAGATGGTCTGATTCTATAGGTATGCTGTGGTGCCTGCATTTCTAACAGATCCCTTGGTAGTGACCATGCCTGCCTGTTGGTTATTAGATCTCACATTGAGTAGCAAGGCATTAGACCCTATTTTCCTGAAATCATAACACCATTGTACAGATTCATTTTTATGGATCCTTAGTCACAGTGAAACATTATGAAAAAACATTTCATTATTTTTTTAACCCCTCTTGTGACCTGTTCCTACTTCAAGAATGAATAGGTTGGCATGAGATTGTTGGAAAGTTGGAAGTGGATGACAGTGGACGTTTATGCTTAATCAGTGCTTTCTATGTGCCAGGCAGTATTCCAGTATTACCTATATTACCTCATCTAATCTTCCAATAGCATTTTGAGATAGGAACTGTTATTATGAGGCAACTGGGTTTAGCTATTTGCCCAAAATCATATATATAGTCATCCTTTGGTATCTGTGGGGGATTAGTTTCAGGACTCCCCACAGGTACTAAAATGTGCAAATGTTCAATATCCTTATTGGCATAGTGTTTGCATGTAACCTATGCACATCTCTCCTATATTTAATATTTCTAGAGTGTCATACCAAATTTGCAATGTAAAGGCTACATAAGTAATTGCTATATTGTTAGTGAATAATGACAGGGAAAAAAGTTTGTACACGTTCAATACAGATCCAAATTCTTTTTCTGAGTATGTTTGATCCAAGATTGGTTGAATCAATTGAAGTGTAATCCGTGGATACAAAGGACTAATTGTATAAAAACAAGTGATTCTGGCTGTATTGTTCGCATTCTTAGCTCTTACCCTATGTTTATAAAAGAGTTAATACTTTGTGTAAGAAAAACATTGTCCTGCTAAATGAGTGACATTGAATGGAAATTGTTATTTTGTGACTTAATTTTAAAATTCTTTTCTTTTCTCTCCTTTTTTTGTGAGTTGGAAGGAATAATTTCATTTTTTATGGTAAAAAGTGATTTGCAAAGATTGAATTACATTTCTATATTAGTATATATGGTATATCTTAGAATAGTTTTACTATAATTTTTTCCAATTCTATTCTGTTTTTTGTTTGTTTGTTTGTTTTGTGGTATTGGTGTTTGAACTCAGGGCCTCAAGCTTGCTAGGCAAGCACTTTACCCCCTTGAGCCACAGCCCCTAGCCCTGTATCCACTTTTGGTCTATAAAAGCTGATTGTGAGTTTTGTGTACAGTCACAAACATTTTAAAGTAAACTATATTGAAATAACATTTGTTCTAGTGACTGACTTCCATTGGCCCTCTCTAAAACATGTAGTAAAAAATGTGATGATTAATAACTTGTTTGCTATGTATGAAGAAACCAGATTCTGGAGAAAGATGACTGTGCTAATTCAATTAACATGTTCTTAAGGGAGGAAAATAATTTTGAAAGTTTTGGTTTAAAGGGTAATTAGAATGAGTTTGCTCTTATTATTATTATTCTATTTTTTGGTAAAAATATGTAGGTAAACTTCTAAGATGGTTTTTCATCTCTTCCTGTATACTCCTGTTTTCAGTAGAATCTTGCTGAAAGGTCCTTGCATGTCCATACAAAAGGGCCCAGCCAGACCTTTTTTAAAATTATTGTTGTGCTGGGTGGGGGAACATTGAGCATTTATACAGGTTCTTACAATGTATCAAATATATCATACTTGAATTCACCCCCTCCATTGCTCTCTTTCATCCCCCTTCACTGCTCTCTTTCATCCCCCTCCCCTGATTCCTGGAACAATTTAAACAGGTATCGTTTTTGCATTTGCATATACATTAGGAGCCTGCTTGACCCTGACAGTATGAAGGATTGTGATAAGATCCTGGTGTACCTGACATTCTAGCACCCTGGCCAGGATTACTAGTTGAGGAACATTATCTTTTTCTGAGTTTTTGCCATGTGATTAAAGTCAGTCTAGTGTTTCTGGATGACCTCCACGGAGATAAGATGGGGTGTAGGGTATGGAAGCCCCCCTACCCTTGAGTGACACTGATCTCTTTTTTGCTTTGTATATTACAGAAAATGCTAGGTCTGTAAATGTCACTTTGAAAAATAGGAAAAATAATAGCTTATTGCTTGTTCAGTGCTCGTTATTATATAAATTGATTGAACCCTCTCTATATTTTGATAGTGGAATCATTTGGGTCAGTCATTCTGTATTGACATTGATACTTGACCCTAGTAGTTTGAGGGCAAGAATCCCCAGACCAGATTGTCTGGATTTGAATCCTGGCTCTCTGCCTTAGCAGCTGTGTGATTTTGAGTGGTTCATTTAATCTCTTTGTGATTGTTTTTTCGTCTGTAAAATGGGGATAGTGACAGTATCTATCTTCCTAAAGTAGGTTGTGAAGGTTAGATAATTTATGTGAGGAGCTCTGAACATTGATTGACACATTGTAAGTACTCAATAAAATTATGTGTTATTTTATTTAAATGTATCCATTAGGAATACTGCATCAAATTTGAGCTGAGATAAAGTTGCTAGTAGGCTATTCCATTGTAAACTGTAACAAAAGGGAGAGAGTTCATATTACTGCATATTTTTAAACATATAGTTCTATTCATTCTTTTATATATTTGAATATAGTACATGCTAATTCATTCTTGGATCCTTTTCCTGGCTAGGGGAACAGAGGTATTGAATATACTGAAATTATAGCACAGACCAAGATTCTGGCATTGTGTTAACTCAGAGGAATCATTCTGGTGTGTAGGACAGTATCACAGATAACAGCACAAACATTGTAGTCAAGACTTGTGTGTGAATCTCTGCAATCCCTGGGCAAGGCACTTAACCAGTTTTAACCTTCATTTTCTTATTTGTATAATGGAGATAAGAACACATGTCTTGGGTTAATGTGAGGATTAAATAAACCAGTGCATGTACGGAATTTACATGTGCTTCATATAAAGAAGCACTCATTGAATGCTAGTTATTACTTAGTGAAAGCTCTTTATTTACTTTCAAAGTGATTTGTACTTTCTCAACATAACATGTTGAGTTTCAGACATATTTCTCATAAGACTTTCTTATTTTTTTCAGTCGAAATCTTTTATCAACATTGCCAAAATACCTATTTGATCTTCCCCTTAAAGTTTTGGTTGTCAGTAATAATAAACTGGTATCCATTCCAGAAGAAATTGGGAAGTTAAAAGATTTAATGGAGTTGGTAAGTAAAATAGTCGTATTAATTATACGCAATATATAATATATGCCTTTACATTTTGGAAGATTACTCATTTCTTTGTATAATTTCACTGTAATCTTTTAAAAAGAAATAACTTGGCATATGGTTAAATTCAGTTTGGTAAAACTCTGAGATACAAGTATTTATGTCTGATTTTAGCTCACAGCATAAAAAGAAGCCTGGTTATTTCTTAGTTTTAGAGATGTTGGAAGGCTTGTTTACAAGTTTTAAGAAATACTTTTCAAATGAATAAGCATTTCTTTACTCATTTTGTGGATTGGAAAAGTCTTTGGGAAAAGAAGGTTTTTTTTTCAGTTTTTTTTCAATTTTTTTCAGGGCTATTGTTGAGCCTTAGAGAATGGGGGTAAAAAGAAGAGAGAAGAGCTGGGCATGGTTGTACATGCCTATAGTCCCAGCTACTCTGGAGGCTGAGACAGGATGATAGGTTGAGCCTAGGAGAGTGAAAGCAGCCTGAGTAACATAGTGAAACCCTGTCCAAAAAAAAAAAAGCAAGAGAGAGAGTATAATGCATGCAAACAATAGAATTAACAAAACAATTTTTCCTCTACTGTATGCTCATATGATTCTATAACTTTTGGGATCAAGATAAATGGAAAGAAGCATTATATGCAACTGATTATAGAAACAGAGAGTGACTTGAAGCAATATAATACACTAATTTGAAGTAATACAACATTAAGTCTTAAAGGACATTGATCTCAGAGCAAAACATAATGGGATTCTCAAAGCATCAAGCTATTTTCATATCTTTTGTTTACTTCCCTTGTATATAATTTACCATGCTGCTTATTTTAATTTTTTTATTTTGTGTAATGCTTTCTCAATAAACAAAATATTTTTAAAAGAATACTTTTTTGTGTCTGAAGGACCGAAAGTTTTTTTGGTGAGTTTATCTACAATTTTATTTTGGACACTTAGAGTATAATGAATGGAAATGTCAGTAATACATTAAGGAGTATCTGTATGTCCTAACAAAAGGAAACTTCCTTGAATTTCACCATGTTAGAACCATTGGGTTTCTAGGTTAGAAGAGCGTGGCTCAAGCTGTAGAGTGCCTGCCTCCTGAGCATCAGGCCCTGAGTTCAAACTCCAGTACTGCCAAAACAAAGAAAGAGAGAGAGCTAGAGATAGAGCTAAAGTGAGTGGGGGAAGGTATCTTAGAAGTGATTGGATATAACCACTTTCTATTGCTGGAATCCCTGATGCATCTACTTATGTATTTTCAGTGGTGGACAGCTCTGTTTGTATGTCTGTCCTGAGTCAACCCTTATTCTCTTTTGCAAAACTACTTGTTATTATTCTTTCTTATTTTGAACCAAAGTACATACCCCAATCATTTTTATCATTGGTCTTGGGACTGCCATATGAAGAAATATAGATAATATCAACTTCTTCATTACCAAATTTTAAGATCTATTTTTCTTCAGTGTAAACATCCTTACTACTTTTATTTCTTTCTATGACTTTGTCTTAAACTACTTCTATCCTGGAAAATGTTCACTTTTGTTAAAGGTCTCTTATAATGTTATACTAAAAATCAATAGAGATTTCAGATATGATTTAACAAATCCATATAAAGGGGGCTATTACTTTCTTTGACCTGTGCACTGTCAGTGTTTTTTCAAGATTTTATAAAAGTTATACTTTAAAATTTTATGGCTCTGTAATTTCTTTCTTCTTCTTCTACTTCTTTTAAAGTTAATTTAGTTTTGGCCATATGTTTTAAATTATATTACGAGATACACTTTTTAGGTAAATGAAATGTCAAAAAAGTTTAGGGTTTTTAGATTTATCCTTCTCTATATAAATATATTTGGTGGTACTGGGGTTTGAATTCAGAGCCTCACACTTGCTAGGTAAGTACTCTACCATATGAGCCACATCTCCAGCCCTAGATTTATTACAATATTTTTACTTAAGTAGAATATTTAAGATATTAAATACTATTACTTTCTTAAGCACTATAAAATTATTATGCTTTTTAAACTCTTAAAATCAGTAATAGATTGGTAGATAGCATTATGATGTCTAATTGATAATTTCACTTAACATAATGAATTTGTGTGTATTTTCTGTCATGGGAATATTTCCTTATGATGTTTTTCCACAAGAATTTAGTAACCAAATATCAAGAAATCCGGTCATTAGGAATCTACAAAACTTTCTGGCCTTTATCCTCCAGCAGAGTATTTTGCATGGTACCCACTGGAATAGGTCAGTTTCCTGTGACTGGATTTGTTTCTTCTGGGAAATGGCAGCTGTCTATCAAATTTCTTTGGGTTTCTGTATGGAACTCTTCAGTATTGAATGAATAGCTTTGAAAAGAAGCAATAATGTTTATTTTAAAGGACAAGATGACCTTGTCAAAACTTAAGTCAGATCATGTCAAAAGTTCCAAAGTTTATGGTTTCTACCCACATCTCTCAGAATAACAGTGTAAGTCATATCTCCTCCCTCATCCTACTTTACCTCTTGCTCACTTCCCTCTGGTTACCCCAGATTCCTTGCTGTTCTTTGTACATGTCAGATGTGCTCTGTCTAAGGAACTTTACATTTATTGTTCCTTCTGTTTGGAGTATTCCTTTCTTATATATGGTATAGCCCATTCATTCTCTCAACTTTGATAGTGCTGCTCAAATATCACCTTTTCCATGAGATTATCTAAGTTGCTAATGTTCCACAGACATTTTCCAGCTCTTTATATTTTAATAGCACTTACCACTGTCTAGTATAATTTATTATCTACTCCCTGTGTTAAAATGTAATCTCCATGATGAGCTATGTTGGTAGAAACTTTTGTTTTATTCCTTTATGTGTGCCCAGCCCCTACAACAACATATTTGTTGTTGAATGAAAATGCCTTAGACACCTTTTGAAAGAAGCACGTAGAAGACATTTTCTTAGTTGTTTAAACTTTATTGGATTCTAAATTATGTGGCTTTAATATTCTTTTGAATTGATATTCCTTACTTTTTTTTTTTTACTTTTGATAAGATTGAATGTATATGCCACTCCCATCTTTCCAAACTAAAATCATTTTCTGTGAAAGATGGAAATTGTGGGCAATTGTAGCAGAATATGAGTTTCACTGGAATGACTGCTGTTTGAGATCATGTTGCAGATTTCTCTGACCTTTTTGTTAATGTGATTATAAGAAAGAGGAGAGAGAAAGGAAAGCACAGTTAAACTGTTCTTTATTCTTTTACTTGGAAACTTGGTATTGTCTATCTTTAATCAGGGTTATGTTTTTATTTAAGCCTGAAAGTTTTCAGATTCTGATCTCTTAGAGTGTCTTTGAATTATGATGTGAACTACACATGTTTGTAACCCCTTATATGTTGTATCCCTTTGGAGGAAGCAATTTAGTTAAATTGACCCTGACCATAGTCTTTGGTTTTCCAACTCACACCTGTAAACCTTTGACTTTCTTAGATTTTACTCATCCAAATATCTCAGATCAACCACAGTACTTGACTGATAATCTTAGTGAGTGATTGTCGTTTGTCTTTTATTTTACCTCTGCATGAAGAGCACTTGGATACTCCTTACTTCTGGTTTTAGTGGACAAAAGTTTGTCTTTAGTTGAGATATTTGAGAGGTTGATTTATGTAGTTACTAAGTCATAACCTCAACTTTTTGCATAGAAAAATTTCTGTTGACTGTGCTAGGTTTGCTTCATGATGTAATATATTACTAGAAATCTGCTAGATAATCTGTCTTTAGAGAAATAATATTAGAGGTAACTTTTGCTAGCTATTAATCATATGCTTTAGAAATTGGAATAGATCTTTATTTCTCAGTTAGCTTGTTATAATTTTATTTTCTTGCTTTCCTTAGGATATTAGCTGCAATGAGATTCAGGTCCTACCCCAACAAATGGGAAAATTGCATTCACTTAGAGAGTTAAATATAAGAAGAAATAATCTTCATGTTTTGCCAGATGGTAAGATGTTTGCTAGTTTTACTCACATAAATAGAGAGTAACTATGCAATATTTAACTTAATTATTTTTCATTTCTGCACAGAACTAGGAGATCTTCCCTTAGTCAAGCTGGATTTCTCTTGCAATAAAGTGACTGAAATTCCAGTTTGTTACAGGAAGCTGCATCATTTACAAGTAATAATTTTGGATAACAATCCATTGCAAGTACCACCAGCACAGGTTCGTAATAAAAATATGATTCTTGTTTCCTCTTATTTTTGTTCATAATTTTATCTGTTCACTAAATTAAAAAAAAAAACATAGAATGAGCCAATTTTGTTGCTTAGGTACTATTATTTAAAGGAGTTTTTCTAAAGAAGTGACTTTTTAACTTTGGTAGTGAAACTGGAGTTTTGGACCCCAGGCCCAAACTCCTGGGTACCTAATGTCAGGTCTAGCTACTCACCCTTATACGCCAAATAAAGAGATATGGTGAAGGGCAGAGGAAGGAGATTTATTACACAGTCCAGGACATGCTGTGCGAAGAGGCAAAGTAAGCACTCAGCCCATTTTCAGCCATCTTAGGGGTACAGACATGTGCTTTAGCTTTAAATAGCAAAGAATTAGGGCAGGGGACAAAAGGTATGCACAGTGAAACAGTCCAATCACGGTGTGGCTTGGTTGGTCATTATCTCAGTCCTTATTCTCTTAGGGTTCTGGAGAAGTTGTTATCGCTGTCATCACTTGAGGGGAGCAGTCTGGTTCCCAGGATATGATTGCTCCTGCTCCAGGGTGCGGCCTCATCATTATAGGTAATTGTACTCATTTGGAGGGTGGTCTGCCCTGCAAGGCCCCGCTGTTCCTTAGGGTTCAGTCCTTTGTCATAAAGATATCATCCATCATGTTTTTCCTTCCTTGGTTCCAAGTTGGCTGCAGGAGAGAATGGCTCAGAGCAAAAGACAGCAGATACAAACTGGAAACTGAGATGCCAAGATTTTCTCCTGTGTTTAGTTAATTTGTGGGCTCCAGTAAGGAGTTAGTGCTTTTCAGAAAAAGCAGTTTAAGCATCTCTTACAATAGTTTTAGTAGATTGCATACTAGCATTTAGAAAACCCAGATATCAACTTTCTGCTTGTGAACTGATAATTCTTTTTGTCAGTATTATTTTTAAAAGATAAACTCTGAAATCTCTCTGCCTGTCTCTTACTTAGGTATATATCTACTTGGGATTCATTGTAGGACTGATTGCAGCACATTGTGGGCATTGAGATGGAATTATAACAAAAAGAACAAGATACAAATGGGAAATACTAATTTTGACTTTTAGTTTAATGAGGATTAAATCTATATGGAATCCACTAAAATGATAGTTAAGGAATAGACTAAGATACAAACCCACAAGGACAATGAGTATGAAAGAGAACAGTGGGAAGAGATGTCACCAGAATTTTGGAAAATGAAAATAGGTATAGTAGTGGTAACTAGTGCCTTCTACTTCCAAGGCACAAGAATATTTTGCTGAGGAATATAATGCAGTGAAATAGCAGCCCATACATCCAAAAGGAGAGTGGCCTTTTCTTTCCTACATTCCACTCATTCCAGAGGGAGTAACTTTTCTATTGCTAATAAAGCCTGGCTGAGATCCTGGTGGTAGCTGTCTTAGTACAAGGAAGAAAGCTGCTACTTGGGTCTGCTGTGGGAGAAGGCACAAGAAACGAGTTGACTTAGCATGTTAAACCTGGGAATGGCTATGTTATTGGAGATAACATTTAACTTTAACTCAGAATACAGGAATGAAGGACTGAATATCTAAGGCATTGCTGCCCAGTAGAACTTTCTGAATGATAGAGTTTTCTGTAATCTGCACTGTCCAGGACTGTAGCCACTTCCCACATGTGGCTATTTTTTTATTTTTTAGTTTTTTGGTGTTGGGTGTCAAACCCAGGACATAATACATGCTAAGGATGTGCTTTACCACTGAACTACACCCCCAGCTCCCACATGGGGCTTTTGAATGAGTGGAATATGGTTAGTGTGGCTAAGGAATCAAATTTTGTACTTATTTTCTGTTATTTAAATTTAAATAGCTACATGTCATCATTGGCTAGGATGCCGCACACCCTGATCCTTGCCCTTAGCCCACAGCTACCTGACTATCCCTAACTTGACTCAGCAGAAGCTTGAAATTTACTCTAAGGAGAAGTTATGTTAGGTCTGCGCAGCTGTCCCCACTCAGGCGAAAGAAGAGTTCAAGCAAGAAGGAAAATGTAGTGAAAGTGACAATGAAGTTTATCAGTCAATAGACTGAAAGTGGGTTGTCTCTAGGGTTGGAAGTGATGCAAAGATGACATGCGCAGGAATTTCAGGTACTCAGGGTTCTTGAGCCTGCTCTGAGAATGAAAGGTGGACTCCAGCAGCAGAGGTAGGAAAGATTTTGTTTGTAGAGAAGAGAAGAGAAAGACTGCATGGTGGGGCATGTAGGGGGACCCAGAAACCGGTGGTCCCGTGGGTCAGGGTGGGGATTGGATTTTATAGCCTTTTTTTGTGTGTACTGGCTGAGGGTGGAGATATCTTTCAGATGCGGATGGGGGTTTCCTGGGGAGGAGAAGTGTCTCCTTGACCTCTTGTGATCTGTCCTTCAAGTCCCCCCTTCTCAGTGATCATCCTAACTGCTGTTAGGAATAGGGACTACAAAGTCTATTCAGTAACTGCTTCCTGCTGACAGAGGGCAATGGAGGGGCCCTCAGCATCAGGGTTGACCAAAGGAGGGGTTGTTAAGGGACCACGATAGTAGGTCGTTTTCATCTCCATCAGAGGCATTTATAGTTTGATGGATTCTAGGTGAGAAGAAACAAACTTGACAGGTAAGTTTAAAATGCAAGGCCCAAACACAAGCAAGAGAATAATGGCAACTATAGGCCCCAGAAAGGGTAGGAACCAAGTCCTGGAGGGGAGCCAGGATTTTATTTGTTCCCATACCTGCGTAGAAACCTGAGTTTTAAGAGATTGCTCCCGGAGCCATTTAGCCTGTTGGAGAATGTAATCTGCACGTTCCTCTACAATGCCTGAAGTGTTTATATATGTGCAACAGGAAGCATTGGCCATGGCACATACCCCTCCTTGTTTAGCCAAAAGAAAATCTAGGGTCAGGCAGTGGTCCATGACCATACAGGCAAGGGACAACAAAGACCTTTGCATGTCCTTAATAGCAAGGCCTGCCTGGTCTAAGGTGTCCTCTACCACTTTGGTTAGGTTTTTTTGCAGTTCCATGATTGGCAATCACCCCATAGCTGATTCCAGCTAGGGCTGCAACTAATGCTGTTATCCCTAAAACTATTAGAGTAACCTCTCTTTTATTCCTATGGGAAGTTGTTCCTGTTGTAGTTAGCATTCCCCTTTCCTTCCAAATGGCTGCATGAGCATGCAGGATCAGGAAGGCATACTTAGAATCTGTATAGATGTTGACTCTCTGTTCTTTTGACAGTTTTAGGGCTTCTGTTAAGGCCATTAATTCTGCCAATTGAGCACTTGTATTAGGAGGAAGAGGACGTTATTTGAGGATGCCAAATTCTGTTACAACTGCAAACCCTGCAAGTCTGACACCATTTTTGACAAAGGAACTGCCATCAGTGTATAATTCTAAATCTGGGTTTTTTAAGGGCTGATCAGTTAAGTCAAGTCGGGCAGCATAATTTTCCGTAAGTACCTCCTCACATGAGTGTTTAGGATCTCCTTCTGCCTCTGGTAGAAGGGATAGGATTTAGGCTCTGACACGTCCTTAAAGTTATTTCTGTCCCTCCCAGAAGCTGGGCCTGGTATTTAAGTAGATGGCTGTCAGATAGCCAAAGTTCTCCTTTTGAGTTTAAAATTTCCCCTAGGTTGTGTGGGGTATAAACCGTTTAGGGGGTGATTTAGGATAAGTTTTTGAGCTTCAGTCACTGGAAAGCTTACTGTAGCCACTGCTTTAAGACATCCTGGCCATCCCTTGGCTACCTGATCTAATTCTTTGCTTAAGTAGCCTACTGGCTGGGGAGGGATGCTCCAGAACTGAGTCACCACTCCCAAGGCCAGTCCTCCCTTTTCATAGACATATAATTGAAACTTGTACTGGGAGACCCAGTGCTGGAGCTGTCATGAGGGCCTTTTTAAAACAGTGGAATTCATTTTCTGACTTGTCATCCCATTCAATAAAGGGCTGGGGATTGTTCTGTGCTTCCTTAAGGATTTGATATAAGGGCCTTGCTAAGTCTGCATATCCCAGGATCCAAATTCTACAGTATTTTGTCACCCCCCAAAAGACCCTCACTTGCTTTAGAGTTTTAGGTAGGGGAAACATCAGGATTGGATGGATTCTATCTTTTCCTAGAGCCCTCATTTCTTTCTCTGGGACAAGACCTAAATACGTAACCTTAGATTGACACAATTGGGCTTTTTCTTTAGAGATTTTATATCCTCTATTTGCTGAGAAGTTTAGTAAGGACTCAGTGGCTCGTGAAATGACAGGCTCATTTGGTCCACAGAGCAGGAGGTCATCTACATATTGTAGCAGAGTAGCTTGTGAATATTGCCACTCTGCCAAGTCTTGGGTTAGAGCTAACCCAAAGAGGTGTGGGCTGTCTATGAATCCCTGAGGATTCAGACTTTCTTGTGGGGTCCTCAAAGGCAAAGATAGGTTGACTTTTAGGGTGTAAGGGAATGCAAAAGAAGGCATCCTTTAAGTTCAGGACAGAGTAGTAAGCAATACCTGGAGGTATTTGGGCTAAAAGTATATAGGGATTTGGAACTACAGGGTGGAGAGGCACTACAGCTTCATTGATCAAGCAGAGATCCTGGACTAGCCTCCATTTGTTAGGTCACTTCCTGACACTGAGAATAGGAGTATTATATGGGCTGGAGCATTCTATTGTCAGTCCCTGTCTCTTTAAGTCTTTCATTATGGGAATTAGCCCCTCCTTAACTTCTGGCTTTAAAGGATATTGTTTTTGATGGGGGAAACCAGGAGGGGTCCTTGAGATAGAATAGGACTGGCACCGCTGTTTGTGCCTGTCCCAAGGTATGTCCATCTGTCCACACTGTGGGGTCTACTTGTTCCTCTATTAGGGGCAAGCAAAAGTACTCTCCTGGGGGTAAAAGGATCTGTACCTCCAATTTAGATAGAAAGTCTCTCCCTAGCAAGGAGTAGTGGTTTCTGGAACAATTAGAAAGGAATGACAGAAATGGAAATTTCCCCAGGAGCAGGC